ATTTCTCTCGGTCATCGAGAGTGTAACTCTCAACAGCCGGGAGGGTCTTTCTCGGTTGTGGAGAGTGTACACTCTCCTCGGCCGAGATGAATCCTCTCGGTCGTCGAGAGTCTACACTCTCGATGACCGAGAGAAATAACTCTCAGCCATCGAGAGTCTACACTCTCGATGACCGGGAGAAATAACTCTTGGCCATCGAGAGTGTACACTCTTGATGACCGAGAGAAATAACTCTCGGCCATCGAGAGTGTAACCTCTCAATGGCCGGGAGGAATCCTCCCGGCCGTCAAGATTGTAGCATTTCAACGCCGGGAGGGTTCCTCCCGGCCGTGTGCCTTTCAACGCCGGAAGGGTTCCTCCCGGCCGTGTGCCTTTCATCGCCGGGAGGGTTCCTCCCGGCCGTGTGCCTTTCAACGCCGGGAGGGTTCCTCCCGGCCGTGTGCCTTTCAACGGCCGGGAGGAATCTACCCGGGTCCGGCCGTTCTTCTGTTTTTTTTTTGCAGTGCCGACTCCAAACCCCCATGGGGTTTTGGAGTATCGACTCCAAAAAAACCCCGGGGGGGTTTGCAGAAAGAAAAAAAATAATAATAATTTTCTTAGGGAGTCGACTCCCAAACCAATCAAAGGGTTTGGAGGACCGACTCCCAAAAAACGGGGGGAAAAAAAAATTAGGGGGCTTGACGTCCTGAGGACCGTCCGCAGACAGTCCTCCGGACGTCCCCAAAATTTGGGAGTCGGAACTCCAAATTTTGGGAGTCGTTTAACTAAGACCCTAAATATACTGCCGTCCTCGGCCACCGCCCTCACGCCGATCTCACTAGATAATTTGCAGAATCCAGCTTTGGATTTCTACCCACTAGTCAACCACCAAGCCCATGTCGGGCCTGGGGCAACAGGCAGCAATCATCCGGAACGGCCTATCGACGCTACGTGATCGGCTGGTTCGCGCCTATTATTGTCGGCGATATGCTCATTCAAATTCCAATCAAGCTAAGCTTAAGTCCTTGGCGCTACGCTAAACAACCCCAACCCCAACGCCTTCCTCCTGCCCCCCCCCCTAGTGGATGTCAACATTTAGATACTTGTGTACTCATTTAAAAGCAGTGGCTAGTTGTCTCGCCCTCTGGCCTCAATTAATTCTTCACAGAGTTTCACTTAAGCAGCAGAAATACACTCTATAAATTTTAATCCTTCTATATCATTGCAATGGCGAAATTAAGCGACTTGCCTAGCGAACTAGTCTACCGAATAATAGATTATATCCTTGTTCGCGATGACCAGGTTCCTGATGACTGGCAGGGCCAGCCCATCGATGCCGATCACCACCATCTACTCGACCACAACGGAATCGGGCCAATCAAACCAAAACCGAGGCCTCATCTAGAGCGATTTAGTCGCAATCCTACCCCTCGGACTCTTCCTCGTCACTTTCGAGCTGCTGCAACTTCACAGCCAAACGCTTCGTGGCCGGGCGGTGAGCAACGTAGTCAACACTTCAGCTTAGTAGATCTACTGACTTTGTGTCTAATTTCGCTTTGTAGCTATTCCATCCAATCCGCTTCTGCCACTTTCACTGGTCAACCGTACTTTCCGAAGATGTGCCCAAGAGTTACTGTTCAAGAATGTACCTGTATTGAGTAGGTGGAGGGCGATCTCATTCCTTCAGACACTTACATGGCACGCGATACAGAATCCATCGACTCCTGCAGGTGGATGGTTCAATCGCAAACAAAAGAAGAATGCCCAGGATAACAACGTCTGGATGGTCCGATGGTTCGACATTGATTATTCTCGCCTGAGCAGTTTAGCACGCCATGTCCGCTCCTTACAGCTTGTATGTGAGGGACTCTGTTCGGTGGTAAAGGGTAGCGGCCATTTGTTCTGTGGGATCATTCGGAGCTGTCCATTGCTCACGAATATCGCCATCAGTACCGCGGTCTCGATGGACTGTAAGGATTATATGTTGGAGGCCCTGTCGAGTCGACCACTGATCAAAGAGTTCGTTATCCTCGAGAACTTGGATCACAGTCGATCGATATTTCAGTGGAACGTCGACGATGTCGTTGGTCGACTATTCTCGCAATGGGACCACCTTGAGACGGTAGAGTTGAGTGGGCTCAGGGGTCCGTCGGGCCAGCTGATGGGGAGCGCTCAGAGGCCAATACCCATTCTGAATTGTGATGTGCTAACGCTGATCCTTCGGAACCCGGAGTTGGACGAACAAGAGCTGTCGAGGTTTCTGAAGTGCTTTCGGCATAGCATGCGGACGCTCGAGATTAGCAATCCAGGCGGAGGGATCGATGTGGAAGGCTTTGGTCGGATCCTTCAAGGGTCTACGAATCCGGACCTGGAGTGCTTAAAGGTTGAGAATGACTGGCGCTTGGACGACTCGGAGTCCATAGTCTCATCCGCCGTGGGCGATGTCGATCACGATATCCCTCATTCCAACAAAAGCCTGTTAGATGGCGTCTTTGAGTCTCCCTCCGCACTCAGGAGACTTAAATCCTTATCCTTCAATTGCGACACCGCAACAAACAAGCTCTTCCAGTGCTTACCGGATTCGATTGTTAAGCTTGCCTGGGAGGACTGTGACATATCTCTCACTGCCTTCGCTGAAGTCCTTTCGAGCTCAACACTGGACAAACCTGTGTTGCCTAATCTGAAGTGTTGCTCGGTTCGCCACCGTTGGGGATGTCAGTTCCTTTCGTCTCTTTCTTCTTATCATATTGGCAGTAGGGCTCTACAATGAGAACCGCATTACCTAACCTCCAAACAAAACAATTCTTCTTTGTTTCTAGTGAGCCCAGAGGAATTCCGAAACGCCCAGGCAGCGTTAGAAATCCGCGATGCATGTTTCCACAGCGATTTCACTTTGGAAGATGGCTCACCTGCCTGATAGGATGGATTTCCTAGATGTATCTTTATTCTATTGATCACTCGAAATATCAATCAAAGAGTGGCCTAGAGCGGGGAGATGGGGTTGCACACCCAATTGATCACGGGATCTATCTAGATGGGCTGGACCTGATTATTATTTGCTTGTGGTCCTGTCCTCTGTCGTTCAATCCCCCAACATATGGGTACATTTGCTTGCTTGCCCCAGTAGCACAAAGAACAATAAAAAACAACCCTTTATGCCCTAGGCTGAATCACAAAACATTAGAAGAATCACATGCAGGTTATCACCGGCAAGGCATGATGCAGTCCTGTGCCTAGACTTTCAGAGCTTCCTATTTTCTCTTTTGTATGAATGCAGTTATACTAGAGTGTATGTATACCACTCCACTCATTGATCCTTCCTTCCTTGATTGGAGGGCCAGATATGGCCAGGCTCATTCAAATCAGGCCTTAAAAGGAGGGAATTGTGGGTAATGATGTATTTTTCGCTGGGCAGCTTTCATCACTTTGGGTCTTTTTCTTCCCCTTCTCCAGTGTCTTTGTGCCACAAATGTTTCACACCTGTGGTGTCAAATTTAAGGCCTGAATTTTCTCCTTTTTAGTGTCACTCACATCATCCCCCCCCCCACTCCCCTCACATAAATTTTATTATTTCTGGCTGTTCAATCAGAAGTTTGTGTGTACAGTCCTACATAACAACTCAATTGATGCACCAAATTCTTTCCGCAGCTCATGCCAACTTCTGGTGAGGGGCTACACTCTTCTTCATGTCTAGACATCATAAATTGATACTACATGGAAACTGAGATACTCAACTAAGCTATTCCCTGTTGCTCACCTGTGAAAAATTTGATGTGTGGTTCACTTGCAGGAATGGTTTAAAAGAATTATTACTACTGAAAATGTGAAATATCTGTATAAACACAGGTAAAAATTCTAACACAACTCACAATTCTGGCCCACCAAAGCAAGAGATCTGGTTGAGTGAGTATTTTTTCCACTTTCAGATTCTAATTAGATCTGACTCACAGATTCTAAAAAAGCGCTACAAACATATCTGGGTACAACCTGGAAAAATGACTTTAAGAGCAACTCTGCAGGTGTTGCTATCAAGTAAGGATAGCAACTTGAAATACCAATAGAGCTTGTTCTAATCTGCCACACCAGACAGTTGGTAATTGCATATAACATCCAACAGTTCTCCAATATTGGAGGAGTGTTGGCAAGCTGTCACATGAGGTTGCACCCACAGTTTGTGTCTATGATCCTATCCAATCCTTGAATTTGAAAATTGGATAGAGGCTAAGGATAAAAATCATATATCAGGGACTCCTGTGGCTCATGATTTTTGATTTTGGGTTGCTTAGCATGAGACCCAAATTAGTGACCCCCATGGAGTTTTGCTCTGGGAGCCTTTTCATCCCAGAATTGATCATCTATTTACAGTAGCATTGGATCATTATGTTACATTATTCTGCCAGGAAAATGACTATAGAAGTATTTTTATTGCTTTTGTTGTTTTCTATTATTCTTTCTATTGGCAGATTGAGTCCCTTCTATGATTTTTATACATATTCCATGGCTGATCATACAGAGGCTGGTGCATCCAACACTGGGATGCTACCAGTAGCAGAAGCGTAACAACAACCCAACAAAAACAGGGCCGTTAGCATTACAATAATTCTTTCCATTACGTTTTATTTTATAGTTTTCTTATTATTTGTTGTTGTTACGTTATCCACAGCTCAAAAAGGTGGATAAAAAATGAATAACTAGGTCAATAACACAGATAACTTGTTGTTTGCATTATTTTTCTGGGTAACAAGGGAGGAAATCTCCTTTGTTACATTACTTGTGACCCAAAAATGCAGTTTGTCTGGATAATGCTAACGGTGTAATCTGGACAGCTGGGAAGTTATGTTACACAAATCCCTTTGGATATCGTAATGTTTGTAACTTCCCAGTGTTGGTGCATCTGATGTTTAAGGTGCACACATGTTGTGCTATGTAGTCCTCAAAGATGAGAATTGTTGATTGAAGACAATTGGACATTCCTGGCAACAACACAACAGGCAATTTAATTAGCTGAACATACGGCTATGGATTGTGAATATCCACACCATCTGTGCAGGGATGGAAAGGTGAGCACTGGTGAGCATCTGAAGGAACAAGTTTGGATCATGCAATCCCAATAGGGACTCATTTTCAAATACTCACACACTATTGTGGAAGGTACAGACAGTTGACCAAAAGGCAGTTAAAATGGCTGCACTTTGTTAAAAGTTGCTGATAGCAAATTCTTCTTAGGATGTATCTGGAATAATCTGGGGGACTCTGGACTACACATTCAATATTGGATGTGTTTCTGAGTGTCAATGATTTGCTGATTATGGCTAAAATCTTGCCAATGACTGGCTATCGTGAACTGGGCTAATAAAAGTGGCAAAGTATGAGGATTGGATGGAATTCTAAACTGAGACAACAGAGAGTAGGAGATAAGACTCATGTGATGATCAGTAGAAGTACATAAGTCATAGTACTGTTGGCTAAAAACACACTCACCCTGAGGCTAGCCTGGCCCAATGATACCTAAGGTCACAACACTCCAACTCATAAAGAGGCCTATGTTTTGGTTTGATCTTGTTGCAGTCAAGCAGATGAAGACCAGTTGTCCCATACTGGACAATGTCCCTTGGGCTTGTTGTGGTCAGGTTGGAGGATGTGCTCAAGTACTCTGTGGATCATTTGGGCTGGTGATTGATCAGTTAATGTGGCCATTGCAGTTGGTCATAAAGACTGGCTTCTCTTTCAAATTGTGACACTTCACTCCTCATGACCAGGTGACAAGTTTCTTGCAATTAGGTCTGGTGTATCTATCTTCAACATACCCCAGTGGTTGGACGTACATATTGATATTTTGATGATATGTAGGAAACGGAGCGCTCTCCTCCACTCTTTAAAAGGATGGGCTCATGTTCCTCATATGTAGCTCAAGCTTCCAGATTAGGAATTCGAAATGTTGCAGAGTATAAATGTTCAGCAGATCCTCAATGGGACTATACATAAATACATAGCTGGAGAGGACTCGAGTTTTTGATGCCGGTATGAAGATACAATCGCATCCAAATATTTGGCAGATTGGAATCTGCCAGGTTCAAAGGGATTTGACTACACCAACGAATTAGGCGAATGCTCGCATACAATACAGAGGAGGCAGCACTCCCTTGAAAACCTGTTCATCGACCCACACCAGAACAGATATGGCCAAGTTGACCGATTTACCAGCCGAACTGGTCCACCGAATAATCGGGTACATCTTGCAACCGAAAAACGATCCGATCTATATAGCGGCTCGCGAGGCATGGGATGGCCGGCTCATCGATCCTGATGACCATCATCTGCTCGACCACAACGGGATCACAGGGATCAAACCCAAGCTACGACCGCATCACGAGTTACAGGCTCGCGCGCTTAATCCTCCCCGGACAGCCGCTCAGCGCAACCAGCAAGCTACTCCAGCAGCGTCACGATCGCATGTCTCATGGCCCCATGGTAATTGAGGACTTTCAGCCAAGAAACTTACATCATATAAGTATCTCTAACTGACCATCGATTCATCCTGTCGTATTTGTACCAGGTCTTCCTTCGAATCCGTTGTTGCCCCTGTCGTTGGTCTGCCGCACCTTCCAAAAATCCGCCCAAGAGAGACTCTTCAGAAACGTGCCTTTGTTGAGCCAACGCAAGGCGCGCTTGTTCCTCCAGACGCTCGCTAGTCCAGATGATCAATCGGCTCATATTTCGGGTGGTGCGGACATCGATGGTCCAGACGCGCAGGCCGATGGCCAAGAGGACGAGGCCGAGAAGCCCCGATCATCTCGAATCGATCGTCCTCGTCTGAGCAGACTCGCCCAGCATGTCCGCACTCTACAGCTGATGTGTGTCGGGCCCTGTTTAATGGGCGGCGGCGGGCTGTTGTGTGAGATCATCGAGAGCTGTCCTTTGCTCGAAAACGTCGCGATCAGCACAACCTTCTCGATCGACTGTCGGGAGCCTCTCCTGGATGCGCTTGCGAGTCGCCGACAGATCAAGGAGTTTGTGGTCATCGACAGCAACTACAACTACGGCGGCGGCCGCTCGAGCTTTCGGTGGAGCCTGGCCGACTTGATGTGTCGATTGTTGCCACACTGGGACTTGTTGGAGACGCTCGACGTTGTCGAGCTCGTCGGGGGCTGTTTGGAGACCAACAGTCGGCCGGGCTCGGTCCAACAGCCGATCCCGATCCTCAATTGTCCGCTCCGGACGCTGATCTTACACCAGCCTGAGATCGACGAGAAGGAGCTCTCGATGCTCCTCAAGAGCTTCCGGGAGAGCCTGCGGACCCTCGAGATCATCGGGCCTGCTTACAGGATCGGCCGGGCTGCAATCAACCGGGTCCTGAAGGAATCCACGAGCCCACTGCTGGAATGCTTGTCCCTCGACTGGTCCCACTACGAGCAGCCGATCGAACCTCTCCTGGACGGCGTCGAGTCGGACGACCCTGACACCTCCCCCGGCCTCCTCGATCTCCTCTTCAAGTCCCCCACCACCCTCAGGAACCTCAAATCATTGTCCTTCGTCGGCTCCGTCGCTACCCATCGCTTGTTCGAACGCTTGCCCGATTCTCTCGTCAAACTCGCGTGGGAAAATTGCGAGATTTGTCCATCACAGTTCGTCAGGATCCTCTCAAGCACAAGGAAAAATAATATGAAAGTCTTGCCTAATCTTGGGGGTTGCTCTGTCCGAAGTCGTTATGGATGTCAGTTTATTTCCCCCTCTCTCTCTTCGACAATACGAAATACCACCAACGAAAGAGTTTGTAAGAATTGATGAAGCAATCATCACTGACCATCTTAAAAACCAAACTTTTCGATCTTGATGGTGCAATTGACGGCTGATTGTAGGGGACCAAGACTCGGAGGAGGCGGTGCAAAGCGCGATAGAGGCGCGAGGGGCGTGTTTCCACATGGCTCTAGACCCGGACTATGGGGAGCCTACGTCGGAGGATGAGCGGTTGGAGGCGGCGGAGGAGTTGGACCCTTACTTCATGGATCCCTCGGTCTCGATCGACCAGATGTACGACGAAATCAACGAGGCATTCGATCTGGGCTTACTCTGATCTATTCCCCCCTCCCCTGATGACTCCTGGCTCGTGTACCATCCCAGCGGCCTACAGCAACAGTTCGGTTGGTGCCTTAATTGAAGCTTCGTTCCCAAAAATCAATTCAAAATACCGCCTCAAATGTGATCATCATCCTCCCTATTTGACTCAAAACGCGACACTTAAAACTCTCAACCACTGCCAAGATTTCACCTTATCGATCTTGCCCGAACGCTTGTATTCAAATCCAACCCGCTTTTTCTAGGCCATTTATAATCCCGAAATTCCCAGCAGCAGCTTGAATCTTTCCTCTTCTTTCTCTTGTACTGCGAAACAAAAAGTACATTGTATATTATGTACTACTTACATACTTCTTGAATATCTTTCTGTGGGATTCCGTCTTGGCTTGGCTTGTTTTGGCTCCCAATTATGCTTATTGTATCGGTCCTTGTTGACCTCATTTTCCCCCCTTCAAGGCTTGATCAATGATTTATTCTTCGATGGTCGTTTCCAAAAAGAAAAAAAAAAGGTTCTCTCTTGTTCACTCAACCATCACAGCAAATCCCAATTAGATACTACTGAAAGAACACGCTTCATGCCGCCATTGAATCTTGAATTGACTTTTGTGGCAGTGTATGTACCCCTGAAATGAGACCCAGTGATTGCAAACGTGACAGTCTTTGGTGTCGGCCCTGGAGCCTAAATTTGACAGACAAATCTCGATGTTTTCAACCCCCCCCCCCCCCACACACACACCATATCCTAGGGCTTTCTCTTGATGAAAATAGAAATGTGTATTACATTCTGTGTGTGTTGCCAATGATCTTCAAGACAGCCTTGGGTAATTAGATTGGATTGGGTCAGATCAGTGGGACTTTATTGAACTTTGGACTCCTAATTGAAAATTGAGTCCATTGTATCTTGTAAACATAGCGGAGCATAAGATTTACCAAAGGTTTGAGAAAAGCTAAAAAGAGAAAGAATTATCAAGTTTCATTGGATTGATGTTTTGGACCTGTATGGTTTGTGATTTTACGTGGATGTGGTGGTTTGAAGATCATCTTTTTTATAACACCCTCAAGGAAGCCTTTCATTTCCTGTCAAACTCAAACGTAAGAAACAAGCATAGAGGAGTTAGTAGCTGTTGGAGAATTCAAAGTGATGAAGACTAAAAACTGCGAGTTGGAGGAGGCCAATTCCAAACAATCAGGGGCCTTGATGTGGGTTAAAAATTGTGGAAACTGATATTCATGAATAAAAAGAGAAAACCTCCAACACAAATCCAGACGTAGAGTTTGAGAAAACAATCAAAAGTACTACTGGTCAAAGGAATTTATTCACTAGAAAAAAAAAGGATACTTGCTGGAACCTCTGAGATATTCACAAGACAAACTGAAATTACATGACTGATGATAGAAACTAGGGGGGGGGGGGACTCATCCCAGAGTGTAATAACACAAGCTGAAGTATCAAGGGAATACTGATAATAGAGCAGCAGATGTTAGGGTCATAAAATGTAGTAACGGGTGAAAATAACTTATAAGGTAACAGCTTCAGGAATACTGCTTCTCCAGTTTGTTAGGTGTCTGAATGCCCTGAAGAGTGCCTTCCAAGCACCAGGTACAGTGGGTCCACCTTGACAAGTAGATGCTACACATATGAATGAAAAAACCTCCCCCGATGGAGACAGCCTCGTCGGTCAAGAATCTCTCTCAACAAGCCAACTGCTGCTTGCCGGAGAGCAAACAGACAACGTCAACTGCTCACCGGATGTGAATACCCGGCACTGCCGATTTAGTGCCTCCTTCGGCTTTGCAAGACAAGGGTGTACCTATTTGTCGGGGAGAAAAACCCCTCGACAAGTAGATCGTACCACATCCGCTTGCCGATGGTGAACTTGCTGAGAAAGAGCTCCTCTTCAAGACTTGATGCATGACGTATTCCATAGAGTCAATGTTTTGTTTGCTCGACGAGCAGCTACAATGCCTACTCGTCCGAGATGAAATCTTCTGCACAACTAGATACGGCACCTTCCAGCTGGGGAGAAAGACTTGTCAAGCAGGCCTAGTGCTGCCACCTAGCTGGGGATCAAGAAGGCTTAGCACTACCGCCTTGCTGGGCAAGAATCCTTCTCAAGCTGGAGGTCAAGAGCCTGCTTGCCGGAGAAGAAATATATACTACGGCACGAGCAGATACTTCACCTGCTTATAGGGAATGTGTAGCGCCTATTCTCCCAGTACCAATACTAAACAGTTGCAGTTTAGCAGCTCGTTGGGAACAGATCTTTCCCGATGCAAGCAAAAACCCAAGTGTGGAACACTTCGGAAATATTTTCCGCAGCAGAAACAAGAAAAAAGAAAAAGAATAAAAAGGTGAAAAAATATAGGAAAGGTATGGAGAAAATCAGCCCAGAGAATGAAAGAAACACATGGCCCACAACGAGGAAAAGACACAATGCAATCTGCATCGCGGGAGCAACAGGCACTAATCACTAAACCTCCTCATTGAGAATCAGGACTGCACGACAAGCAGTGCAGCCCCTGTTCTACCGGTATCGATGACGAGGATAGAAGTTTGTTGTAGCAGCTGAGCGGGAACAGGTCTTTCCCGCTGGTAGCGACTTTCGGAGCGCGAGACACTCCGGAAAATTATCACAGAAAGAAAAGAAAAGAAAAATGAGAAAAAAATAAGGAAACTAGAGAAAGGTAATAGAGAAAATACGAAGAAACAGATAGCCCAAGATGATTATGGAGAGACAACAGATTCATATACTTTTATCTTTAGGTACAGATTTGTGAAGAAAAAGAGTTTAATTTGAGGTACTTGAACGGGAACTAATAGCAAGAGATTTAGAACTGGACCGAGAAAAGGCAACAGAAAGAAGACGAGAATGGGAGAAAAAGGCGGAAGGTTTAGAAAGTTTGATCCGACTAGGAGCGACTTTCTTGAATACTTTATTTACTCGCGAGAGTATTGTCATCTCACTCTCACACTCATCATCATACTCTTCAAAGACTGAGGGAAGCATGTCCGATTGACAAGGAGGGCACACGGGGGCTGCTCCCTTTGGCAGCAAGTAGACCGAAAAATCTTTGAGTGGGTAGATATTTCCTGAAGACATACTAAAACAAGACAAGAAAAAAAATTATACAAAATGTTTTGTTGGAAGAAGTAAGAACGGTTAGGGATGGGTATTTGGGGGAGAAGGTTAGTAAGCGCTGTGGTTTCTGTTTTTTTTTTTTGGGGGGGGGGGGTAGGTTGTTTGGGGAGTGTTTGAGGAGATTGGGGGATAACGGTTGGTTTGGTTGGTCAATGGGGAAAATGGGATGAAGGAGAGGGGCTGAGATGCGAAAGGGGCAGTCTTTTTATAAGGGGTAAGTGAATTTTACAAACTATTTTTTACAAGACATATGTCTTGTAAACCGGATAGTTTGTAAAATTACGTTTTTATGGGGGTAATGTATAATTTTACAACCCATCTGTCATTTTCGAAGTTTGTAAAAAATTGGTTTGTAAAATATGTTTGTTAAAATTGTATCACAACATGGCATTATGTAATTTTACAAACTATATCATGCAAGTCTTGCATGACTAGGTTGTAAAGTTGTATATCAAAGCTTAAATTTAGAATTTTACAACACATACGCTTGCAAACCTTAATGTCTTGTGAAACTACGTATGTAAAAAAGCTTATTGGCACCCTGTAATAGAATTTTACAACACATAGTTTACAATCTATCATTAAACTTTCAATACATATCCATTAAGCTTCATATAAGGTTCATACAAACATTTGACAAACACGGCATATCATGGGTGATATGCCAGGCCTTCTCAAGTTCTCCCATCCTTTTTCGATCACCGACAACAGAGAACTCAACGCCATCCAGCCTAAACAGAGAAAGAGAAAACGTTCTCAGGATGTCAGAACCACGGACGACAGGCGACAAATCGATCCTTCCGACGGGTGCAACCGACGCCAGGGAATCAAACAATGACGCCGGCGTCGATCCCCGTCCTCGGCCGTTGTTCAACCCGCCGTCTACCGCTTCCACTCCCCTTGGCACGAATCCACCAAGTCCCTGGATCATCACCCCGCCAGAGTTGCTTTTTACCGCCAGCCCCCATTTGGAAACCCCCGATATCGACAGCGAAATGAGGATAAAGATCAATTCAGTGAGATCTTCGGATTCGAAGCGATCACAGAAGACCGCTAGCGCGACGGCAAAAGACATGAAAGCAAAAAAAGAAGAAAAAGAAGAAAAACAAAAAAAACAAAAAAAAGAAGAAAAAGAAAAAAAAGAAGACTTGACTTCGATGCCATCAAAGAAGACGGCTGGCGCGACGGCGAAAGAGGCGAAAGAAAAAAAAGACGAAAAAGAAAAAAAAGATGAAAAAAAAGAAAAAGAAAACATACCATGGATGATATCGTCGTCCGAGAAGCAAACCGACGACAATCGAATAGAAAAGAGCGAGGGTTTCGAGGATGAGGAGGTTGCCGAGGAGGAGGTCGACCACCTCGATCAATCGGACCACGGACCAGACCACGACCGAGAGGAGGATAGCCGATCCGAAGATGGCCATCCTGAAGCAAACATCGCGGATTCGGACGACACGGATGCCGTGCAAGATCCGCAAGGGAACGCGAAGGAGTGGTTCCTCCCAAATTTGGAGGACACCTTCGAGACCTACATTGATCACGGGTGTATCCTTGACAAGCAAGGGTACCCGATCTATCCCAACGGAAAAACGATCTTCGTGCGCAAACCTGGCAAGACGGTGACGAACTTCGGCACCGTTGGTTTTTCGAAAACATCCTCAAGCAATAAGCGAGGTATCAACAACGATTGGAAAGTTGTTTGTTACTTCTGCCTGGGGGCCCTGGTGTGTGACGATCCTTCTTGCCAGTGGGCTGCCCCCCCCCCCAACCGGAAAAGGTGGTAAACAGAAGCTTGAAGAGGGGTAAGCCCCTTTTATCATTATTTCTTGATTGATTATCCTTCTGTTTGATGGTTTGTAAATATATTTGCAAGAGTTGTAAAAATTTTTACAACTCTTGCAAATATTTTTACAAACCATTGCCCCACATGGCTTCATGACCTTTACTGACCATGTATGTAATTTTGCTACCAAACAGGAAAACAAAATGTCCCGGTAAATCAGGGAAATGCAAGGGCAATGTTACCCACAAGAAATGTTGCCGAAACTCCGTGGCTGTAAGATTCGATTACCACTTGCCTACCGGATGGGGTCTCCTCAGGCACAAGGGCACACATCCGCATCCGTGGCCTGAGGCTAAAAAGCCTGACCCCATGTCCAAGGATGAGTTGAAAGCAGAAATTTTGAAGAATCCGAGTGCGGGGGCACTTAAACTTAAGGTGAGTTGGTCCCACTTCCTACTTTCCTGATCATATTCCTCATCTTCTGTGATTTCTATGTTATGTAGACTGGAAAGCGGACGGATCCAGCTGCCGGCGCAAATAGTGTAACTGAGATCCATCCAGCTTATATCAACAAAGACCGATTGGCGTATTACCGGCGTAAGATGCTCGTCGAATTGAACTTGGTTCCTGACAAACTTGGGGGAGGAATAGGAGACAAATTTGTCTTGGACATGTTTGCGTGGGCTGCGTGAGTTATTTCTCTTCTTGAGTTGAGTCATTGCTGATCCAATGTGTTGACTGTATTTGTTCTCACAGGCGTGGCTTGTTGATAACGTCTGCTTCATTCTTGCCACAGAATGAACACTTCACATTCCAAACCCAATGGATGGCCGATCGACTACTTGCTAGGGATGAGAATAATCAGGTCTACAGCGGGGTTCTCATATCCGATGTCACGTACCGATACTTCGAAACAGGCTACTTGCTCTCAACCTCAATGTACTGTGAAGACCTTCACCGATGGATACCGATCCAACTGACTTGGATCCGCGGGTTGAGTGAGGAATACTACAAACTCCATTTCACCACACTCCTCAGACAGTTTCAAGCCGCACCAGTAACACCTGCCGAACGTGACACGCTAGTCCGCCAAGTGGTTGACTTCTCCAGTGCTCAAGCCGAGGGATTTGTCTCAGCGTATCTGGAAGTCTTTCGTCAGGGAACTCGGAAAGAGGTGAAGCGCATGCTGAAAGGGCGTCGGGAGCATTTCCGCCAGTCTGTCACACGAATCAAGCGTAATCGGTCTCTCATGACTGCTGACGAGGAGGTGAGTAATTTTTGCTCTGGTGAGATGTATCTCCTAATAATTTGACTGATTTCAATGTAACATACCCCCAGGAGCCTTTCCGAAAAGCATGCATGGATCTCTTGGAACACCAAGAAGCCGGCGGGAAGACTCATGAAGAGAAGGTGGACTTCATTAGGCGACGTTATCCCAAAGTTCGCAAGTGGCTTGATTGGTGGACGGTTTCTGACATTGAGGCCCTCCTCTTTCCATCGCGACAACCCCGACTTGAGGATACTCCTGACGGTCTTCCCGATACTACCAATGCCCAGGAGAGTATGCACCGGATCTACTACAGGCTGAGGTAAGCTTAAATTCCCCTGTGAACTATTTGCAGGCTTCCCAATGAAGAAAGACGCTCATTTATAGGTTGTAATGTAGTGACGGAAAACAGTGCATCATGGTTGGAATGGTTGACCTGTTCTCCTTTGTAAAAATGTTGGAAGAAGATTGGAAAGCTGCGATGAAGGGGATCCCGATTTCCTATGGGGCCAACCCCACCACGGACATTGGCACCACCCTTGGTATTGTGAAGAAACGCAAACGTGGCGAAGGGAAGTTCATCAATGATGGAAGGCCCCCGGACACAACAGACGAGCTTGTTGATGGAAAGAAGAAGAAAAAAGCGAAGCTTGGCAGGCCCCCCAATTCAACAAACTTCAACAAAAGCCTCTGGTCAGCTTATCCATCTTACCACGCGAATAAGGACAACCCAACTCGAAGAAACCGCTGTTGGCTCGCCGCAGGTCTTGAATCTCTTTATGCTCTTTTCAGCCCATTATGGCTCCGTGGAATCAGCGGTCATGGGAAGGACGTCTTCACCGCAATCGCTCATCACTTCTCATGTCAATCAACTGGCGAACTAAATGGCAGTAACGCAATTCGTTCAACTTTGACGCGTGGACAAAACATGGTATTCGATGTTCTCAGTCCTAAATATCCAGGACGATTCCTTCCCGGCGCGTTTGCTTCTTGCGATTACTTCCTTGAGGTCGCGTTGGATCCCCAACTTCACAAGAAGGATGAGTATAAGCAGCTCTTCTCGATTGATGAACATCGAACTTTCACCTGCGAACTCCAGCCGAATAAATTGCAGAAGCACTCCACTCGAGATCACCGCACCCTTCATGTCTTGACAATCAAGCCGCAGATGTTTGATGAGAATCGGATTCCTCACTCTGATGTATCAAAGCTAATCGAGATGTGGCAAACCGATGGATTGCTGGCAACTTCGGGTATGATCTGCAAACACTGCAATCCAAACAAACCAAAACCGAAGCTCCCGAAGAACGCCAAAATTCAAAAAGTGTCTTCCGATGTCGACATTGTCAAGCTGCTTGGATCCTCTGAAAACACATCACACCACATAATTGATCGATCAAGATTGGCTGTCCCAGCAAATGGAGCCCCGCTTCATCTTAATTTCTATGTAGATGTCACCGGCATAACCGACGAGAAACAGAAAAATAACTTTATGGGATCGATCGATTGGCCGTTCAAGATTAACGTTGGAGGCGCCACATACACTCTGATCTCCCGGGGCTACTGGCAACATAATCACTACTGGTGTAAGGTCCTTCGAAGTGCTAACATCTCAGCTGACAAGGGTAGTTTGACCGCAATTTGGTTACACAACGACGCCGAGAATGATGGGTATGCTCAACAGATCAATCGGGTTCCCAGTTCAATTGCCGGAGTGGAAGAAAACACAAGCTGGCTCCTTTATTCGCGCGACTGGACACCTTCGGAGGAAGAATATGTCAACAACGCGATTCAGAAAATCATAGCCGAAAATCCAGAAGCTGCTGGCGATGTCCCTTTCAAGGAGATGAAGTCAATTTTGAACACATCACACAGCTCAACGTTAATTCCCCACACCACCACAAACGAAGTTAAATCTACTCCTCCAACTACTGTCACATCCCAGGCCAGAGAAAAATCGCCTTCAACAACTACGGGTAATGCTCCAAAAAATTACACTTCACCAGTCAAAGGAACAACTCCGATTGCACAACTCGCCTCTCAAATGAATGCACAGATTGCTCGAAAGTATGCACTAGACCAAAAAGAACCAGACACCAAACAACAGTGTTCCTTGGATGCAGAAGTCACACTGGAAATAGACGAATCATTCCTCTCGGTTGGCGACAAATCTCATGGTGATCAATCTTTTGTGCTTGGCGATCAATCTCTTGGCGAATCTCATGGTGATCAATCTTTTGTGCTTGGCGATCAATCTCTTGAATCCCATGGTGATCAATCTTGTGGCGAAGATGGCAACAAAGACGGCGGTGATCAAACCTTTTCTCTTGGTGATCATACTGGCGAAGACGGTGGTGATCAAACCTTTTCTCTTGGTGATCATACTGGCGAAGACGGTGGTGATCAATCTTTTGCTCTTGGTGAACAGTCTCTTGGCAATCAAACTGGTAATCAGTCTCTAGCGGATGAAACAGATGATCATGTTACTCAAACTCAGGTGAAACACAGTCAGGAGGATGAAGAAGTCCCTCAGAAACCTCCAATACGGTTCAAGGTCATACTGAGACCACCTGAGCAACGATCACCTCCAAGTACCAAAGGAAAAACCCAGGCTTCAAGACGATCAGTGAGAAAGAAAAAATGAGATTGAAAGATTGTTCTCCTGGACTGACTTCACTTTTCCATTTATTCTGTTTGAGGCTCTGCGTTTTTTATTTTTGATCTGCTTTTTGATTTTTTTTTCTTCTTTTGTTCATTCCTTTTTGTTTGGTTTGAGGCTGTGTCTTTAACTTTTTTGCCCCTTTTATCTTTTGTTGAGGCTGTCTTTCTCTTTTTTCTTTTGATTGCCTTTTGTTGTTTTTTTGAGGCTGAGTCCTTGATGCTTTTTTTTTTATTTCTGTGTTGATTTTTGTGTCTCCCTCTTTTTTTTTTTTTTTTTTTTTTTTTTTTTTGGGAGGGTTGCAAAATATGGTTTGTAAAATTCTATTTTACATACCTTGTTGTGCAATTTTACAAACCATAATTTACAACACATAGATGGGTTGCAAACTAATGGTTGCAAAATTCCTTGAAATGAGGCAAAAATGTACTTTTGCAAACCATATTGTTTGCAAGACATAAGGGTTGCAACATATGTGCCTTAAAATTCTACTTCATGGGGCATGGGTTGCAATTTTAAGGCACATATGTTGCAACCCATATTTTTGGGTGATGGTTTGTAAAATTATACATTACCCCCATAAAAATGTAATTTTACAAACCATCTGATTTACAAGACATATGTCTTGTAAAATATAGTTTGTAAAATTACAGCGACCCTTTTTATAATGCGGAAATGGGGTTCACCAGCTGATAGATTCTGACATGGGCCGACTCGCCTCAATACACCGGCCCGGGCGGTCTCCAGCCGGGTTGTCGGTCTGATTCAGAATCAGGTAGCCCGTGCACTGCAGGCAAACTGTGAGGGCCGGCTGGGCAAACACCCCGCCAGGTGCCGGTCTGCATCCAAATCCATGAAAAATGAGCCGAGTCGGTCCAACTCGTGCATCAATTTTTCGTTCGCTTCAGAATAGCAGCTCCCCTCCCGTGCTGTTTGTCAGTTGTGAAGGTCGGCTCGGCAAATACCGCGCCGGGTGCCAGTCTCCTCCCAAATCCATGAAAATAGGTCCAGTCGGCCCAGCTTGTTCATCAACGTTGGTTGGCTTCACGATAGCAGCTCCCGTACGGTTTGGGAGCCATGAAGGCCGGCTGGGCAGATGGCACATCCGGTACCGGTCTGCTTCTGAATAGACTAGCTTGACCAAAATTGTTCCTTGGCGAGCAGGTGCACTATCAGCTTAGCCTGGAGGTTTGTCCGAAAATTTCCAAAGAGCCCCGGCGAGCAAACAGCTGCCGTATTGCCTTCGTAGTATTCACCCCAGCCGGGCAAGTAAACAACTACAGTATCGGTCCATCTTGGAAGTTTGCGGGCCGGCAAACAGGGATCGTAGCTGCTTATTGACTTGGAGGGAAACTTTTGTAGCCAAAGCATTAAACCAACTCATTGTGGTTTATGTATTCATCAAACACAAGCAGCTACTGTATCTGTGCGTCGGGAAGGCTCTCTTTCCGAGGCACAGGTATGGTACTTGCTCTTCGAAGAATCCTCTTCCCCTGATCACATGTTACTTAACCGGGGCCTTCTCCCACACATTCAATTTTAGGCACCCCAATCGCTGGTGACGTGGGGTATGTTCCTGCCTGATGGGAGCTCGTCTTAGCACATCTGAGTTCCTTCTTCTTCCTTCCAACACAGCCGGACATTGTAATGTCATCAATGTTCATCCCCGGCCACCGGTTGACCTGAAGGGTTCTCCACTCTAGAAACGCAACCAATTTTTTTTCTTCATACATCTAGATCTGGAGTTGAAAAAAACGTTTATACATATGTTTGAACACTGGTGTTAAAATCTGTGTGGAATAAACAATTTTGGCCAATAGCAGAAATGAAACCATCGGCAGCAAAATTGTCTGAGCGAAGTAACAAAGCAGTTCTTCCCCGCAAGATTGGCCGTACAGATTCAAAAGACAGTTCGCAAGGGTTGATACCGACGTGTTTTCCTCAACGCGATATTTTCATCTGAAAAGTTTGTGAGTCGTCCTTGTCATCGAATTGGTCCTTAGTGCCGGATCGCGTCCTGGGATGGCCCTAGCAACCAGTAATGTGATCAGGTGATCACCAACGTAGTTCTTTACAACCGGTAACTTGCATAAAGTTCTCAGTCGCAATGAAAAACAGAGAACTCCAGCATTCGAGCCATTCGCGCGCATCGGCAATCGCATCTTGATCAACCTGTGGATCCTTCTTGCGCCATAATCCGTCCCAATATCTTTCGAGAATTTGTGATAATTTGACAACCCTACCTTCAAGACGAAAGGTGAGAATCTGAAGTGCTTGACGATCTGTTGGGTCACTTAAGCTCTTCTCTAAAAAATCATGTATGGTATAATCAGTCTTCCGGGAAAAATGGAAAAACTGATTCAATTGATCCTCCTTCATCTCCATCGATGGAGAATCGAATATCAATGGCTGATTGACGGTGGATCGCGAAAGTTGATTGAAGAATATCCGGCATAACTTGCTGACGGGAGTCGCAGCTTTGAATGACTTATCTCGTACTTCGTTTCCCAGTGCCCAAATCCAATCATCCGGGTCGATCACGTTGAGACCTGGTCTTTGAACTGGTTGTTTGAACTGGTAATTCATCCCGTCAACAAACGCTTTCCATTCCTCCTTGGCCACTCGCAACAGAGGTTTTTGAAGCGTTGGAATGAGATCGTCAATTTTTTCAACAGAGACAGTGGTTAGTCTGGCGATATCACGTCCTTGATTGATCCTTGAACTTGAGAGGTTTGAAAAGTTGAGCTGATCAAAAAACGTCTGACAGGCGGCAAATAATCGACAAAGTCCCCTGGAAAACAAGTCGAAAACTTGACCTGAAATGACGATGACTCTGAAAGGAAAAATTTCTCTTTTTGGCACGTCGTCGCGCCGAACCGGGCCCATCGACGTCTCAAGCTGCTCCAGATAGTTGTTGATTTCTATCAATCTGTTCAGAATCACATCGTACCAGGAATTTGCATCATTTTGCGAGTTGGGTGAATTAAACGCGAGTGATAACGACCGTAGCTTTCCTTTCAACGCCGGCAAGATAATCTGTTCTATTCTACATAGGGTTTCACTTTCCAACGGGAGTATGTCAAATATCTTCAGGGATTTGGTGAGGCCCACTCGTTCGTGTAGGTGACCGATTAGATTTCTGATAATTTCTTGGTAAATGTCCACATCAGATGTCAGAAATAGTATGGCTAATTATTACCTGGAGCCGAACCTTGACAACAGACTCACCCAGGTATTCTTCCTCCGTCTTCCCATCCGCATTACTCGATCGAAAAGAGCTGACCATCCTCGCCACTGAGTCGATAGTATTCTCCTCGTCCATTTTTTGAGTCAATTGTACGCGTGAATCTGCAAGTGAAGGTGGGGCAAACGCAAACCGCCGGACAGGTAACAATTCTAGGGTCGTCACGGTCGACCGACTCGCGCTCCCCCAGACGCGGGGGATCCGGTGATCCGGGTTGGTGTTCATTAAAGATCTCCCAGAGCAGTACTAGAGACCCGAGAGACTGAACAAACATGATGCGCACAAGTTCATGGCCGATCCTACGCTAGTTGGTGAGTTGCCTTCTGGGCCAATGTCGGCCGGTGAGCTCGCAGGACTACTTGTTGCCAGGAGATTTCCTGTGGTTAGCTGTTGCACTGTGTGTGGGGCATCAGCCGGCTCATCTTGAGCGAGCTCACAAGGCGTCGGTGAGCTATCTGAACAGACGTGGTTGAGCTTCATTGATTTGGCTGTAGACTGGCGGCAGTGGGCCAGGCGGCATTCCCGGCCTGGGTGACACTGTTCTGTTTCATGGATTTTGAGGCTGACCGTCTTCGGGTGTGGCATTTGCCCAGCCGGCCTTCACACCTGGCAAACAGCACGGGAGTTGCTGTTCTGAATCCAAGCGACGATGGTGAAACAGCTGGACCAACTCGGCTCCGTTCCGTCATCGGATTTGGAAGCTGACCGGCACCCTGCACGGAATTTGGCCAGCCGGCCTGCACGATTTGCCTGCAGTGCCCGGCCTCATTCTGAATCAGACCAACAACCTCCCTGGAGACCGCGCCGGCCTGCGTGGTGATGCACGTCAGTCCAAGTCAGAATCCATCGGCTGAGTTGGGTGACACGGTTGTGTTTCGTCGATTTGAAAGGAAAGCTGACCGTCTCCAGGTGCGACATTTACCCAGTCGGCCTTCACACCTGGCAAACAGCGCGGGAGCTGCTATTCCAAAGCCAAGCGACCATGGTGAAAGAGCTGGACCGACTCGGCTCCGTTCCGTCATCGGATTTGGAAGCTGACCGGCACCCTGCACGGAATTTGGCCAGCCGGCCTGCACGATTTGCCTGCAGTGCCCGGCCTCATTCTGAATCAGACCAACAACCTCCCTGGAGACCGCGCCGGCCTGCGTGGTGATGCACGTCAGTCCAAGTCAGAATCCATCGGCTGAGTTGGGTGGCACGGTTGTGTTTCGTCGATTTGAAAGGAAAGCTGACCGTCTCCAGGTGCGACATTTACCCAGTCGGCCTTCACACCTGGCAAACAGCGCGGGAGCTGCTATTCCAAAGCCAAGCGACCATGGTGAAAGAGCTGGACCGACTCGGCTCCGTTCCGTTAGTGGATTTGGAAGTAGACCGGCGTCCTGCACGGAATTTGATCAGCCGGCCTTCACAATTTGCCTGCAGTGCACGGGCTGCCTCATTCTGAATCAGACCGACAACCCGGCCGGGCACTGCGCCGGCCTGTGTGGTGATGCGCGTCGGTCCAAAATAAAATCAGTCCGCTGATGAACTCTCGGACCTTTCCAAGCTTTCTCCATTATAAAAGAATGCTCCTTTTCGCATCTTCGTTCCATCCTTCATCCCACTCATCCTCATTGACCAAACAAACCAACCACCATCCCCCAATCTCCTCAAACACTCTCCAAAAAACCTATCCCCAAAGAAACCCATACCGCAGCGCTTACTAATCTTTACCTCCTAATCCCTCAACACCTAACCGTTCTCACTTCTTCCACCAAAACCATTTGTTACATATTCTATCTTGCCTTGTTTTAGTATGTCTTCAGGAATGATTTACCCACTCAATGATTTCTCGGTCTACTTGATGCCACAGAGAGCAGCTCCCATTTGCCCTCCCTGTCAATCCGATATGCTTCCTTCAGTCTTTGAAGAAGATGATGATCTTCAGCGTGAGAGTCAGATGACGATACTTCATCGAGTAAATAAAGTATTTAAGGGGTTGACGCCTATTCAGGTTAAAACTTCTAAAGCCTCTTCCTCTTCTTCTAAGTCTTCATTCCCTTCTCGATTTCGTTCTATGACCTTCTCCCGTTCCAGCTCAAAATCTACTTCCATCAGTGTTCGTTCAAGTATCTCAGACTAAATTTGGTTTCTTCATCAATCTGTATTGTCTAAAAATAAAAGTATATGAATCTGTTGTCTCTCCATAATCATCTTGGGCTATCTGTTTCTTCGTATTTTCTCTATTACCTTTCTCTAGTTTCCTTATTTTTTTCTCATTTTTCTTTTCTTTTCTTTCTGTGATAATTTTCCGGAGTGTCTCGCGCTCCGAAAGTCGCTACCAGCGGGAAAGACCTGTTCCCGTTCAGCTGCTACAACAAACCTCTATCCTCGTCATCGATAACTGTAGAACAGGGGCTGCACTGCTCGTCGTGCAGTCCTGATTCTCAATGAGGAGGTTTAGTGATTAGTGCCTGTTGCTCCCGCGATGCAGATTGCATCCCTGACAAACATTGAGGTGTCGTATCTGCATTTGTACGGTGGAGGTTTCATCTCCAGCGAGTGTACAATATTTGGGGTTTTGCTTTTCGGCAGATAGTTACTTGCTCCTCGTTGACTGGTACACATCTTATGCAAGCCGGAGCTGGCACTAAACCAGCATCACGAAGTAATCACCTCTGGCCAGCAGATGCAGTATCTGCTCTTCGTAGGAGTCCGCTCTCCAGTGAACCGCTATTTCTTTGGCTCGTTGCGAGAGCTTCTTCCCGAGGAGACCGAGCAGGTACTGAATAAGCTCGCTGTGGTGCATCTCCATCGCATATGAATAGTTGCCTTCTCTGCTTGTGGGGGAGGTTCTCTCTCCAACTTACAAGTGCGGTACCTGCTCATCAAGGGGGGCCATCTTCCCCCACAAGCGTCACTAGACATGGTGCTTGGAGGGGGCTCTCTTGGACATGCAGCCCGCTGATGAAACAGTCTCCCTGACTGGTGTGTTTGCCCGCTTCTGGCACCACATCATCGCGTTTATTTTCATCCGCAGCCAGGTAAACAGTAACACTGGTTGTTTGGCTCTAGGTGTTCCGAGCAACTTCTTTCTTCATCCCTCTAGATCCAGAGAGGTAAAGATAGAAGAGAAAGGGCGCCGGCGCCCGAGATTTCTTATGCCAACCCATTGAAAATCCGGCCGGTGCACAGTTGGTGGAATTCAAATTTGTCCTCCGCCATCGGGACGAACAGTTCAGCCACTCCTTCTTGATGGCTAAGCTTTACAAAATGAAAGAACCAAGCTGCGGGACAAACTTGAAACAAGCTACAATCTGACGGTGAACAAACTGGGGCAATATGGAAGAAGACCGGCACCGGACGTGGCATTTTGATTGACCTAGCCCGAGCCAGCCGGCCTTCACAAACCGCAAGCAGCCCAAGAAATGCTGTTCTGAAGCCCACCAACGCCGGTAGGCAGCTGGACCAACGCGGTTCACTTGCACTGATCTGGAAGCAGGCTGGCTCCGGGCACGACATTTGTCCAGCCGGCTCTCACGACTTGCAAACAGCAAGGGAGCTGCTATGCTGGAGCGAACTAATGATGAACCGGACCGACTCCGCTCATTTTCATGGATTTGGAAGCAGACCGGCACTCGGCAGGACATTTTCTCAGCCGTCCTTCACAATTCGGCTGCAGCTCGGGTTGTTTCATTCCAAATCGGACCGACAGCCCGCCTAGACACCGGTCCGGGCTTCCAGAGGGTTAAACAGCTGTGAGAGCAACAGGTGGCGCAAGTTCACAAGGCGGCGTTGACTGAACCTTCATTGATTTGGATGTAGACTGGCGGAGGTGGTCCAGACGTCCTTCACACCTACATATTCAGATACATCGATGAACGAGTTTGGTGACACGAATCTGCTTCATGGATTTGAAAGCTGACCGCCCTCCGGGTGTGGTATTTGCCCAGCGGGCCTTCACAACTCGCAAGCAGCACAGGAGCTGCCACATATTCTAGCCGTAAGAGTCCGTCAGCTAACGGGACCGACACGGTTCTGCACGATTCGTTTGGAAACAGACCGTCACCGGACGGGGCAGTTACCCAGCCGGCCTGCAAAAATTGCAAGCAACACAAGAAATGCTATTCTGAAGCCGACCAACGTCAGTAGGGAACTGGACCCACGCGGCTCGGAGTCGCAATGATCAAGAAACGGACTGGGTCCGGACGTGGCATTTGCCCAGCCGACCTTCACATCCACATTTGGCAAACAGCACCGGAGCCAACATTCTTAAGCCAACCAACGATGGTGGAAGAGCTGGCCCGACTCGGCTCGTTTCCATTGATTACGATGCAGACCGACATCCGGCACGGCATTGGCCCAGCCGTCCTTCACACTCTGCCTGCAGTGCACGGGCTGCTTCACTCTGATTCGGACCAACAAACTGGCTGGACCCCGCTCCGGCCTGTGTCGTGATACCCGTCAGTCCAATTCAAAATCCATCGGCTGATGCACCCCCGGACCTTTTCAGATTTTTCGCATCATAAAAGGATGCCCCTTTCTGCATCTCCGCTGTTTTCTTCATCCCGCTCTTCCCCATTGACCGAACAACCCAAACATTATCTCCCAACCTTCCCAAACACTCCCCCAAAAAACCTATCACCCAAAACCCAAAACGACTGCGCTTACTAACCATTTCCCCCAATTCCCCATCCCTAACCGTTCCTAATTACTTCTTCCCTCAACCCTTGATCTATTTTTTTTATCTTGTCTTACTTTAGGATGTCTTCAGGAATAATGTACCCACTCAACGATTTCTCCGTCTATCTGATGCCCAAGGGAGCAGCTCCCATGTGCCCTCCTTGTCAATCGGACATGCTTCCTTCAGTCTTCGAAGAGGATGATGATCTTGAGTGTGAGAGCCAGATGACCATGCTTCATCGAGTAAACAAAGTATTCAAGAGAATGATCCCTAGTCAGATTAAAATTTCCAAACATTCTTCCTCTTCTTCTAATTTTTCTCTCCATTCTCGACTTCGTTCATTGACCTTTTCCCGCTGCAGCTCAAAATCTACTTCTGTCAGTGCCCGTTCAAGTATCTCAAATTAAATTTCTCTTATTCATCAATCTGTGCCTAAAAATAAAAGTGTATGAGTCTGTTGTCTCTCTACCGTCATCTTGGGTTATCTGTTTTTTTCGTATTTCCTTTATATCTTGTCTCTAGTCTCCTTGGTTTTCTCTTGTTTTTCTTTTGTTTCTTTGACAATTTTCCTGAGTGCCCCACGCTCCGGAAGTTGCTAGGAGCTGGAAAGCTCGGTTCCCGTTCAGCTGCTACACTGAGCCTACTCTTCGTTGGTTCCAGAAGAACAGGAGATGCACCGCTCATTGTACATTCCTGTTCCCTAGTGAGGAGGTGTAGCAGATATCTACTGGTCATTGGCTGGCGGTATTACTGTGCCTGCTAGACAATTCCTGCTCCCGACAATTCGGTGTAGTATCTGCGTATGGTGGAGGTTTCATCTCCAGCGCATGCTCGTCGAGCGAACAGCCATTGCTAATAAATAGGTGCACAATATCCTCGTCCGTCGGTGGATTTTGCTCGGCGGATCATGGTCTTGGGACTGCTGTACTTGAGAAGAAGTTCCTTACCACCAAGTTCATCATCGGTCAGCGATGTTGCACTATCTGCTCGTGCAGGGGTTTTGCTTTCCGGCGAATAGGTGTACTGTACCTGCTCCTCGTCGGTTGCAAGTAATCCTCTCTTGAAAGCCGGAGCCGGCACTCAACCAGCATCGCCCAGTATCCGGTGAATGAGCTGGGCCAGCGCGGTTCGCGTGTGATGATCTGGAGGTCCGGCTCGTTCACCATCGTTCACGTTGGTTGGTTACACATTAGCAGCTCCCGTTCTGTTTGCAATTTGTGAATGCCGCCGTACCCGGAGCCTTCACAACTTGCAAACAGAACGGGAGCTGCCAATGTGTAGCTAACCAACGATGGTAAACGAGCCAGGCCGACTAGGCTCATTTTCATGGATTTGGAAGCAGACCGGCACTCGACAGGACATTTTTCTAGCCGTCCTTCACATTTCGCCTGCAGCTCGGGCTGTTTCATTCCGAATCAGACCGGCAGCCCGCTTGGACACCGCCCCGGACTTCCAGAGGTTTGAACAACTTTGAGAGGACGCGCTCAACAAACCATTCTGAAGCCGCAATAAGACCTTCCAGCATCCTCGGATGGAAAAGGTCCTGTGACTCTGAGTCTGGCCCGTGATGTTCCTCCTCGCTCCGCTTGTCCTTGGCTAAGAATCAATGGACCGGCTCTTCATTCGGGTCCAGAGGATAACTCGACACCGCCGGCCCCATGCCGATAGTGTATGTAGCTTCCAGAATCTATTATTACGGCCCGCGCTTAGCCACCAGACGGGCTTGGGCGCCCAACAGCCGACATTACATACATCGGGCGGTCTACAAACACTTCGGTTGGTTCGCGCCGATTATTGTCGGCGATATGTTCACTCAATTCCAATCTTACTTAGCTAAAGTACCCTCCTTGGCGCGAACGCCCCGACTCCTAGTGATTATGGATATGAACATGTAGACATTTGCCTACTTATTTTGCAAGCAATGTCTGACAGTGTCGCCCGCTGGCCTCGATCAATTCTTGACACAGATTTGTACTCGAACGGAAAGACACCCCACCCAATCCTATACCATTGCATTTTTCGCAATGGCGAAATTAAGCGACTTGCCTGCCGAACTAGTTTATCGAATCATAGATTATATCCTCCCTCGCGATGATCCGGATCCTGCGCACTCGGAGGACCGACCTATCGATCGCGATGATCATCATCTGCTCGACCACAACGGAATCGGGCCAAACGTACCAAGACCAAGACCTCATCTAGAGCGACTTAGTCGTAATCCTACTCCACGGTCTCTTTATCATGACTTTCGAGCTGTTGCAGCTTCACAACCATACGCTTCTTGGCCAAGAGGTGAGCAGTATAGTCGACATTTCAGCTGATCAGATCTGTTGAACGGCAATTTATTTCTACTCCGTCTGTGCAGGTCTTCCATCCAATCCTCTCTTGCCACTCTCTCTAGTCAACCGTACCTTCCAAAGATGTGCTCAGGAGATACTTTTCAAAAATGTACCGCTATTGAGCAGATGGAGGGCAATCAAATTCCTCGAGACACTAACCTGCCAATCAATACAACATCCATCCACTAGTCGCCGGTGCAATCGAAAACGAGCGAAGAATGTCCAAGATGAGAACGTCAGGATGCTCCAATTGTTAAAGATTGATTATTCTTTTCAGAGTAGTCTAGCTGGCCATGTTCGCTCCTTGCAACTTATTTGTAACGGCATGTTCTCAATGGCCAAGGGCAGTGGCCAATTATTCTGTGGCATTATCCATAGCTGTCCCTTACTAGAGCATATTGCCATCAGCACTGCGGTCTCGATGGACTGCAAGGAGCTCATCTTGGAGGCCCTATCGAGCCGACGACGCATCAAAGAGTTTGTTATTCTTGACAACTTTGATAATGACAGTCATTCGATGTTCCAGTGGAATGTCGATGACGTCGTCTGTCGATTATTCTCTCAATGGGACTACCTCGAGACTGTAGAGTTGAGTGGGCTCAGGGGTCCGTCGGGCCCGATGATCGGGACGATTGAGATGCCGATACCCATCCTGAATTGCGCCGTCCGAACGATGATCCTTCATAACCCTGAGTTGGACGAGCAAGAGCTTTCGATACTTCTACAGACCTTTGCAGGGAGCATGCGGACGCTCGAGTTGAACAGTCCAGGCCACAAGATAAACCGAGCGGGCTTGTGTCGGATCCTGAATGAATGCACGAATGCGGAGCTGGAATGCTTGACGCTCGACTGGTCTCACTACGAACAACCGATCTCTCCTGTCCCGGATGCTACCAATTCTGACGACCCGATGACCATCGATGGCCTACTAGATATCCTCTTCAAGTCTCCCTCCGCCCTTCAAAATCTCAAGTCTCTATCCTTCACCGGCACCCTCGCTACTCACGCTTTATTCGAACGCTTACCTGATTCAATCGTCAAACTTGCTTGGGAAACTGCGATATTTCTCCGACCGCGCTCATTAACATACTCTCAAGTACAAGAAATGACAACAAACTCTTACCGAATCTTAAGTGCTGTTCAGTCCGAAGTGGTTACGAATGTCAGTTTTTTTCCCTCCTTGCCTCCTTCTTATAATAAAATGACTGTTCTAAATACGGAGTCTGTAAGAAATGATTAGGTAATGATAAGGCAATACTTGCTGACATGTCGGGACATTTTCTTTCTATTCTGGTTGGTGATTTTTTGTAGGGGACATAGACGCGGAAGAAGCGGTGAAAAGAGCGTTAAACGCACGAGGGGCATGTTTCCACATGGATGTTAATCCGTATTATGGAGGATGAGAGGATGGAAGTAGAAGAATAGATGGATCACTGTTTCATGGATCACTGTGTTTCAGATAAATCTGTGGTATCTTAAATTTTTCAAACAGTCGTGATACTGATGGTGAAGTAAAATGAAGTTCTTAAAAGGCCCCTTATAATAAGTCAAAAGGTTGAGAGATGCACATGAAATGACCAAAAAACAAAAAATAATCCTCCTGAAGCAGCTGTGAATGGGCAATTGCTTCAAAAAGTGCATTCATTTAAGAGCATGCTAAGCCTGCTGGAACTAGTGAGGTCTAGTCTGGTCTTTTCAACACTGCCCCCACGCCCCAATAGGATCCTGATGAAGCTGGATACATCTACTAGCTCCTATGTATAGAAATATGACAAGATGGAGTTTTCCAATCAGATGGGATTGATTCAGAGAGGTTGGTGGTTTCAATTGTCAACTTGTAATTTTAATCCAAAATTTGACAAATTGAGTCTCTGAAACTTGAATGAAAGCAGTATTTGAATGGGTAGTCGGCCATAAAGGGACTGCTTCTTGTTTTTGATATGAAGCCCTTTTTCAACGAATCTTGGAAAGTGTATCACAGTGATGGACTTCATGTTCACAGCTTAGGGGGTTCTTTCCATTTTTGACCAAGGCCCCATTTGGCAGTGGCATCAATATAAGTGTAATATTGACCAATTACAGCTATTGTAAAAACGTTTGTGCCATTTGCACTTCTTTTTTTTCTCACACAACTTTTTCCTCCGATCCTGGAAGCCCCGAGCCCATTGGGTAAATCTGCTGGAGATTACCTCCCAATTATCATGACCAACTCGACCCAAAAAATGTGACTTTGGTTGATTGGGTGAAATTGAGTGGCCTCATCTGGTGTGTGCTTTGCGGTACTTGGCAAAGTTGGGGCCAGGCTTCAAGGATCGGGGGCAAAAAAAATATGTGTGAGACAAAAAAGTGCAAACAGCACAATCATTTACACAATAGCTGTATTGGGATGAAAAATCAACTGTTCAAGACCATGAAGCAAATGTTTAAAAGGCAAGCTAAACTACCAATCTCTTCATTATTGACTAAGGTTTGATTGATTAGGCCATCTTCATCACAACAACAGCCATATTTCACTTTGCATTGGTCACAAGTAGTTTTGCTATTCTGAGGCTGAAGATGGCCTAATAATTTGAATCTGATGACAAGATTAAAGGGATCAGGGGTGCATGTTGCCTGTAAACAAATTTAGATATTTGATTTGGAATGCTTTAGTTTTTATCCAACCAATTGGGCATTATAACACCTATATTTATGCCACTGCCAAACAGGGACCAAGATTCTTTGATGAAATCTTGTTGATCTGCAAACAGAAACTCAAACTTTTTTTTGTCCCACGATCTGAGAGTTCAAATGATTTTTCTCATCCAAGCCTTCTTCAACACAAAATATGTTCACATGGCATATAAATGAAGACATTTTATTCCTGTGATGGATATCTATGTGGAATCACTTGCAAAGAAAAATCTAATTGTGAACTAAAACATAGGAAAAAGACATTCAGCATAGAGGCAAGAATCAATATATAGAGTGAATAAAGTAAGACTGAATTGCAATCTGAAGAAGAAGTTTTCAATAAATGAGCAGCCCTGATTGCTTTGATTTGGGGAATAATAAACTGGAATATAATTGGGCAAACCAGAAACCTTTACCAAGGTGTAGAGTTTGATGGAGCAAAAAAACCCAGTGGTTGTAAGAATATAGTCCATTGAAAGAAGATATTTTAAAAAAAATTCAAGGTATCCACTGGAAAAAAAGAAAATGGTCAAGAATCTCAAAAAGAAAAAAGCACTGGGTGTAATAGTAGAAGAGGATGGTCAATGCAATAGGGTAAAAGAGTAATGTAGTCTAACAGGGTGATATAGGTTATCAGGGCAATATAGGAAAATAGGGAAATGTAGAATAATGGAGGGGACAATGGCAATAAAAAGTAATACTCATGTGTTAACATTAAACAATTTGGAGAGGAATATACTGGAAAGTAGGTATTTGGATTGACCAAGAAGATTTTGGCAGCTTCTAGGTATACAAATTTTTTACATTTTTGCCAAGGTTTGCTTACTGATTCAAAATGCTAGTCTTCAATTATGGGATCTTGCTTCCAAAGGAAAGTTACCTGCCAATCTTGTGCACTTTTGAAGTAATCAGCATGGCCAACTTCAACAAGTCTTGACTGCCCACTGAAGCATCCACATCATGTAAAATCCTCTGATGGCAAGACTATGGTGGTGTAGTGAGTCATAGGGTGACAGGCTGGGGCAATGGATAATGACCTAGCATATAATTCAGGGTTGAGGGTAAACAAATCCTTATAAAAATATTTCAGGGAAGCATCATGCATAGATGGGAAACATGCAAATTATGAATTTCAAAACCAACACTTTAGTAGACTTGAATTTACTGATAGCTTGGCTCCATATTTGTGTGAAGATGACTGAACAACTCAAGATTGCTTGCAGCAAATTGGTTTATCATTCAGATAAGAAGGGAAAATAGCAGTGCAAACATATTGCACTTCACACATAGTCACCTGTTTTCAATACATTGTTTGTTCAATACCCATCCAGGTCCTGTTCAAGAGTTCTAGCCCAAGGTTCAAAACTCTCCACAAGCTGATCCCTATGAGGATGAGAGTCATGATCATTGCCTGCAGTATCCTCTTACAGCTCTTCCTACCAGCCTGAAGAAACTCAAGATTTTTAGCCGGAGAAAAAGGGGAAGAGACTGGGTGATGAAAAACCTTGAGGAAAAGCTCAGAGAGAAAACAATGGTCTAAGAGCCCTCAAAGAGGGCTAAGGCTCCTGGCTTGTGTGGTGGAAAGGCACACACGCTACAAGGAGTTGTATCTGGTAGAGACTCCAGGCATCAGGTGCAGAAGAACAGATACTTTCATTTTCTAACTCAGGAAGCATGAATATTTATTTACATGCAGGTTATGGCTGAGTTGTGGGACAGAAGAGGAAGATGCATATTCATCTGTAAATGAGGAGAAAAGGAGTGACAGATGATAAGAGAGTGACAGAGATGTGACAGGGAGAGAAGAGCAGGGCACGGCATCTTCAGAATTCCAACACAGCCCCTGCTATGGAGGGTGGTCATGGTAGAGTGCTAATATCTACTTGTATCTGGGAAAACTGTAAAAAACAAGCCACCCGTTACCAGTCACTTTGGTTGGAAAATTTCAGTTCCCAGTGGAAGGCAAGTGTGGCCCGTACATTTAGTTTGGGATTCTAAACATTACTGTGAAAATTCCCGCTGCAGGATATACTTCTGCTGCAATACTTGACTCAAAATCCATCAAACAAACTGGACAATACATGGAGTAACATGTACAGGAACAATGTGTACTAATTCTCACCTCAATGAAGAAGTTGTAGAGCCACTAGAATTCAGGACTTGATCTCATTTCTGGGTTCTGTGGTGATGACCCATCAGCTGCAGGCCCATCAGACCACCAAAAATGAAAAAAAAGGAAATTTAAATGGGCTCACTGCACACAATAATTTTATCACCACGTTCTTCAAGTTGAAGCACCCATTAGGGGGGTTCACGATTGAACTTTAAGGTCATTTTTAAGGTGTTTCTGATCATAAATTTACAATTTTTTTGTGATGTACAGAAGGTTCAGAGACCAATAAACTGGAAAAACTCAAAAAATTCCTAAAATGTTGCTCATAAACACCTTAAAAATCACTCTAAAGTTCATTTGTGAACCCCCCTATTAAAGAATTCTGCATACAAGACTGGATTAGGCATGTGCTGTCATTGGAGATTCACCCTGCCCAGGTTGAGCGCTTTGAGTTTGCCCAAGTTGCTGGATAGCCCCACAAGCCTTTATGCACTCAGAGGGAATCCACCTGCAGAACAGAATCATGGTCATAGTCATACCCAATCCTTTGCCCATCTTCATCATCTACCATGGAAAACCTCAGTATACATACCAGTATCAATGAGAAATTAATACAGTTTTACTTCTCTCTTTTTTCAAACTCTTGATTTTGAAAAATGTTGAGTTGAGGCACAGTCAAACTGAAAAAACATCTCAAATAAGCAAGGAAGCCTGTGATGTAGAAAAAATTGGTCTTGTGGATGAAGCGTGATAAATGCATAAACTACAAGGAATGTGACACTCAGACATCCGAAACTCACATGCGAGAATGCTTGTTGGGGCATAAGTCCCTCAGGCAAAGAGGACTTGTTGTTAAGTTCGATATCGAAGCGAAAGCCATTGGTGAAAGTAATCCTTTGATCAACCATACTAAAACTAATTACTAACAACGTTCTTCTCCAAACAAGACGGAGAGAGTGAGTTGAGGAGCGTAGATCATTTGATTAGATTCATGATGATTCATGGAGTCACGAGATCATTCATTATTTTCGCAGTTCAAAGAGAGAGGGATTGAAAATGATTATACATAACGAGGCGAGGAAGGAAGAAAGAAATGGTGATAGATGAGTCCGGAGCAATCGAAAGAAGAGTGGATCATGGATGGAAGGGTGCAAGTTGAGGAACTCAAATGGGTATAGCTAATGCAATTAAACAAAAAATTGGAATCTGTTGAGTTTTTTTTTTTGGTAATGATATTTATGTCTAGATGGTCATATTGAAAGAAGCGCGCGTAGGGGAGGTAAACTCAATGTATATTGTCACGAGACGTGAAATGAAAACATCATTGGCGAGGGCACAATCAGAGAAGCAGGGAGGTCATCAATCATCATCGTCAGACAACGTCAAATCAACTATCTTCGGCTTCTTGTCCTTCTTTTGACCATTCTTCTTCGTCGGCTCATCATCATCCTCAATCTTGATTCGCTTGTTATTCTCATTCTTCGTTTTTTCCCTCTTGGGTTGATTTTCTTTGTCCGATACATGATCTGATGATTCAACCTCTTCATGGACTATCGTCGGTTCGATCGTTCCTTCAGATTCTAAGATTGCTCTTGGTTTATATTTGAAGATAAACTGATTCATAATATAGTTCCGAAGAAAAAAACACATTTAGTTAAAGAAAAAAAATAAAGGGTGGGGGAAAGATATTTGAGACTGACTTGTAGGAATGGTTGCGGGTCTTTCGTTTGGACATACCACTTCATCGTAGGGGGAGGTTGAAGATTGGCAGTTGGCTGAGCTAATCCAGCAGTGGTGGCCAAACAAGCTTTCTTAGAACGTTCGGAAAACTTCATCTGATTAGAGGTCTGAGCAAGATCAGCCTGATTGATAGGCGCTACAGGTTTCCTGGGAAGGCAGACCAGCTGAGCTTTGGTGACGTTAATCTGAATGGTGCCGAGCGACTTGATGACCTTTTCATCGTTGCAGATCTGGTCGCCATCTTCATCTGGATCGACGAGATTGACTTTGGCGAATTGGAGGGTCCGGATGGTCGAGTAATCCGATTGGTTTATGTATGAGATGTTCCAGGGAAGATACGGCTGGGATTTGGGTTGTTGACCGCTAGCGATGCTGACCCCATCTAAGTAGAAGTCGAAAACATAGTCCTCTGCTATCAGTCTATCCGAATGGATGGATGAGCATGTCGTCGGTTTGACGTTCAACGAGATCTCAAATGGACATGCATTTTGCGATTCGATCGTCACTATTTCTTGGATCGCCCCCGTCGTCGGGTCTGTGCTCGTTTCATGCTTGTATTCTTGACAGGCCGTTTTCGTCGCGTCCGTCTGATTGGCTGTTCCTGATGTGCCTGTTGTAGTACTTGGTGTGATGGCACTGATGGTGCACCATGAGCCCGAGGCAGCGTTGGTCGGCATGTTGAGAACCGTTAGTGAGTCGAAAACTTGTTGGTTCGTCCTGAAGAAGTTTGTTTTGACTTTTATTTTTCCCTGTATCTTATAAAGGGTCCCCGCCAAGTCCCCCGCTCTGAACTGGGTCAAAGGCAGCGTGACCCTGGAAACCCCTCTTTTATGTATTTGGGGTGGGGGGGTACATCCATAACCCCCTAAAAGAAGTACTTTCCATTGTTTTTTTGTTGCAGGACAAACACCAAAATCTCCCAAGAGACACAATGTTGATGATTTGCTGTTGAAAAAAAAGTATCATTAGAGGACTTCCCATCGTGATAAAGGGTGTTGTTTTAGATTTTTAGACCCTTCTCAGTTCTAAATTAACACTCATTAACACCACAGCTAACTCACATGAGGGCCTTCACTACAAGGCTTCTGAAGAAACTAGGGAAAAGCATGGCTGACACCACATGATATAGGCTACAGTAGATTTAACATAAGAGAGAAAGAAATACTAGGAATAACACCTGGGCTCAAATTAAACTGGAACAGTCCTGAAGGCAAAAGTGCTTTGCAAGAAGTGGCTTATTGACTACATTTATGGTACCGACTGAGGCCTCCTGTGAAATTAGACCTATTGCTAGGCTAGAAATAGAAGTGACACAATAAAGAGCAAAATATAATTGGCTGTGGCCAAGAATAGGTCTTGGCAGGAAGACTCCAACTTTGTTTAGAGACAGCCCCTGACATTTGTTTATAGTCATAGCAAATCATGGGCTGAGTGGATCGTGGTATTGTGAAAAGGATAAACCAAAGTCAAAATTGGGTTCATGGATAAGTGTAACTTGGGGAACCACATGCAATGTTCCAGCATGATAACCATTCAATATTTCTGCCTGCAAGATTTTAGGTTGAATATCTTTTACTACAAGTTTTGTCCCATTGGCAAGGCCATCCCTGAGACATAGATTTCAGAGTAACATGACAGGCATCCCTCTTCTTAGCGCAATTCTATGGTCAGGAAAGTTGGGAAAACTTGCAGTATTTAGAATTTCCTCAGACACCACTCAGTCCATCACATCCATCATTTGATCAACTGATTCAGAGAAATGAAGTTTACCCAGTGGTAACAGTCTCATGCAATGATCATTTACTCCCTACAAATATTTGTTGAGAGGAGTAATGATAGTGTGTCCATTATAGTAATTGTTTTGCCGAGTTGTTGCCAATATATATCTTGTATCAGAGTTGGATTTACAAATTGGACAAGCAGCATAATTAAATCTTTGATAGTTTTTTTTAATTAAAACATGGCCAAATTTTAGGTCAACTTCTTGAACCAGGTTGCCTTGACCATGGCCTCCACCAATCTTGAGTAACCATTCATACAATTTGAGCAGTCTTGGGTCTGCACGAGCTGAGGAAAGGCCTAATAGTCGGACAAAAGCTTAAAAGAAGTAGAATGCATGGAATGAGTTTTGCTTATGATTACAGTATGAAGTAGCCTGGATATTGAAACAAGAAGGGGTTGGGAATAGAGATATGATAGGTGATGGTTGAGAAGAGAGACAGGCAGGGGGCAGCAATGAAAATGAAATAGCCAATTGTTGATGAGACTGGGAAGTAAATGGAGTTAGGAACACCACAGAAAAGGAAATGGAACTGTTTTTAAAAAAGATATGTAGGCCTTGTTTTGGAGATCTTCAAAAAGGAAGAGTGCATGTAGGAATTATGACAGAATCAGTCAAGATTTGGGCTTAATAGAGAAAGGAATTGGAAAAGTCATGTGTCAAGGGGGCTTTGATTTGAAGAAGTGATGAAAGAAGATTGTTGGTTTAGGTAAAGGAAATGGCAGAGAAAATGTAAAAGGAAAAGATGAAGTAGTTCAGGGTAGTTGCTGAAATAGGATATTGTCAAACAAAGGGTCAATGAAGTTATGGTTCAGGAGTAAATAGTATATTAGGAGATGTTTTGGAGACAAAGAGGTGTAGGCTGAGGTTCCAGGACTTAAGTTCCATGACAGTGCCTCAGAAGATGGAATCTATGACAAAGATTGCTACATTTTTGTGAAATAGTTGGTTTGGAAATTTTTTTGCCAAAAACTAAGACCTTATAAGTGGTGTAAATCAAATTCTGTGAGGGTTTTAAATAATGATGTGTAGTCTTCCATTTTATCTTGGAACACAGTACAATCGGGACAGTGGAGTACTTCCCATTGGATCTGGGACCCTTGCACTGCAAGCATAATTGGCTGGATTGTGGGTATTCTAGTTTAACTGGGATACACTCAACCATTTTCAACTTGGTAGGGTTCCAACCAATCAAATATAAATCCAAGGTACAAGGTACCTTGAAGTTGCATTTCATTGGTTGAGATGCAACAAAGTTTAAATTGATTGAGTGCATCCCAGTATAACTGGGATACCCCCAACCTAGCTAATTATGCTGGCAGTGTATGTAGCAGATGTTGATTTGGACCCAAAAATTGTAGAATTTTGCTGGGAAATCTAGCTTTCAATGCTCTACATTTCTTCTGGGAGGCCTGCAGATATCAATGGGAAGTTTTTCAGTCTTGGACTTCTCCCAACTTTATGAAAAATTCAACATAATCATGGTTCTCTAACAAAAAGACTTTCTTACCTCAAGGAGAAAAAAAACCAAAAGCCCCAGCTGGGCTTCGGAGTAAAACCCTGAAGCCCCGGGGTTCGTTCCTCGGCACAGCCCTACAGCCCCGTCCCTTACCCCGGAATAATGCCTGAGTTGTCCCTCCAATCGCGATCCTGATCGGGGGTGGATTAATAGATCTTCAGCCAATTTAATATTTGGAGAAACGTATGCATCTGTCGGTCTAGTTTCAGGAGATATATATTTACGACTTCAGCTTTGTTGAGAATGAGAGTACGTATGGTTTCATTAAAAAAGAAAAGAAGAAAGAAGAAAAGAGAAAGTGTGGAAATCACGCAATCCAGTGCTACGCATGAAAAGAATCCAAGTGAGCCCCAAAGCCATTCTCTACTCAAACAAGTCCCGCCTACTTCTGAAATGCTTATTGCCGCGGAGAGGTCAAGTATCAAAATGCGGAGTTGGGAAACAAGTATGACAGGCAAGGTGATCTTTTAGCACAGCCCAGTTGATTTTGATTGAGCAAGAGTCGGCCGAGTCGACTGACATGAGGCTCCATTCTTTTAAAAATGCTACAGAACATGTGGCACGCTCATTTGGCATCCCTATAACTTGAGATTTACCGTGTACCTCGTCCAAAATTTTCTTGATGCTTCTCGCATTCAACTTCAAGGTAGAACTTCTTTGAAGCTTCCTGGCTGTAAGTTCAAATGCGGAAACAACCGGGATTTCAATGTGAAAATCATGAAAATCATGGTTTTCTGTTGAGCAGTTCATCAAACTACGTATCCATCGAGGTATCAACATTTAGACACTGGGGTTGATAAAATTTGAGGCTGACGTCGATGGCAACTTGGAACTCAAAGACTATATCAGTCCCAATCCCCTTGATCTATCACGTAGGGCAAGAACTTCAGGTTCAAGCTTGTGATTTAATACTTGGTTCTACTTCTGGACGAAAACGCAGTTGAATATTGGTGCCTTCAATACAACCTGCCTAAATCCTTACCAATCCTTTAAAGAAGGAAATTTTACAATGCTTTGTCGATCACTTCTTCCCTTATTCGTTAAGCCTTTCTCTGCTTGATCATGCTTGGATATGATGTAAGGTCGGGGCAATTCGAAATTGATCATCTCTCTTTCTCTTGAATAGCTTGTTGGAGGATGCTCTGCCATGGATTCACTCAAAACTATAGTTCGGCAGGAGAATCCAACCACTCTTTTGGAAGAAATCTCTTACTCAACCTACCCAGCCAAGGAAAAAAGCGCTGCCGAGTCTTCCATGAGACGATCGACTGCGAACGACCTCAAGCGTTCATTGCTAGCTGGGGATCACAACCCACTTCACTCAGTGAGCCACTATCAAACTTCAAAATGAAATAATCAAACGGAACACGCGTTTGCATCTTACTAATTCTTCGTGGTGTTAGAGTGAGAGATGCAACTCACTGTGCAAACAGGGAAACCGCGATGTCATAGCCTCCGATATTCACTCTGTCTCCGAAAGCGAAGATTTTTCTCCCGAGATCCATGCACAGAATGGTATCGGGCGACGTCATCGATTTAAGCAGGAAGAATCTCCTCCTGCAGAAATTAGCAATGAAAAAGTAGACTGTGCGCATTGCAAACGTGAACTGAAAAGAACTGACACAGGTATCAAGTCCTGTTATTGCAAAAAGAGTGAGCAGCAATTGGACCCCCCTCAATGGTTCAAGTGTACCAAAATTCCAGTTTCAAAAAAAAATCAGATCCACTTACCAGTTCTAAAAAAAAACTTAATTTCAGAAGCAGGACAGGTGAACACAATTTTCAATCCTCACATCCAGGCAAAGGATGTCAACACTCAAGCAGATAAATACATGGAAGAGTCTTTGGATGACTTCAGACACATAAAATGGTTGTTATTATCCATGTTTATATTATTGAATTTCCTTATGTGCATCATCTCGTTCCTTATGATAAATTTGTGAGAATGAAAGTGGGTATGTCTTTCCAATGTTGTTCAGCTAAATTGTGTTGATCATTTTGATATGAAGATTGCGTGTACATAAAGATTGGAGAAAACAAACTATCACTTGACAAAGATTGCATGACCTTTACTGAGTCTGGGTGGCTTATAAGAGAGAGTACCTCTGGAAGGCTCAGTGCACCCTTTACCAGACCAAAAAAGATTATTTCTCCATAGGAACCAATTTATTATTGATGTGATGAACTGGGATGATGGTTGTGAAAAGGATGAGGAAGGTATCCTTACACACCATCAGCCCAGGTATAAATCTACAACTGTGATATGTGAATGGAGGGTGATAAAGCACAGACTGAAAATAAATGACATAAGAAAGGTGAATTCAACAATTATGATCTGAGAAAAGGTTCTCTTGGAGGGAGCATAGTATCAGTATTCTATCAATAACAATACTAATTGAGCACCATGCAGTGCAATACATTACCACCAACACTGGAATTTTTGGTCAAACTTTTGTGGTATCACACTACTTCC